TAGAACATTTACAACCACATAAGGTCCAAACCAATGCTCTAAAAAAAATTGTAAGGTAGCATATTGGTTATGCAAACTATTATCATAAACAAATATTCAATCACCTTCATGAATTTTTCATGGCCTTAATTGGTGCCACTTATCAAATTTGTCCTTATTTTTCAAGCGTGCATCTTTTAACTTCACAATTATTTTTTTTATGTCCTTAGGTCTCCTCTCTAGCTAACAAATTCAAATTACAAGAATTTTTTTTCTAGACATGTTGTTTTGTCAAAGTAAAACAATCCAAGTGGATATTTGTTCTTCAATTGGCATAATAGGCTTTTGTCTTTATATCAATTCTGTTGACATATATCCAATTATAGAACTGTGAGTAGTATAATCAGCCCATAAAGCAAATGGTAATAATCTTAGTCATTCTTTTGTTCTTCCTTTGTAAGTTTTAATAATGGCTTTAACTATCAGACAATGACCTCGTTCACTTTTGGTATTACCTTTAGGATTATATGCTATTGTAAGTGCAAATTTAATCCTACAACTTTCAAAAAACTCTCTTGTCTCATATGCATCCAATTCTCTAGGATCAGCAATAATCTTCCCAATACATCCATATCTACAAATGACATCTTCAAATAAAAATCTATAAATTCTTTTAGTGGATTTTGTTTGTAGAGTTATTCCTACTACTTGATTAGATAGTTTCTTTCATGCCAAAATCAAATATAACATCTGCCATAATTCCATAGTATAATAGATAGATCCACAATTCACTTATAATATATTACAAGAAGATATATAGAATACAATTCAATTCTATGTTAAATCTCCAAATATATTTGACAAGTTTTGCATGATTCCAAAAACTTTATCACATCTCTATACATATTATGCCACTAATATCTTTCTTTGAGTTTATTAAAAGTAGCATGAATAGCTTTGTATGTTGCCTACAAACTATCATGAAATTCTTTGATTAGTTGTCTTTGTGTTTCTTTCTTGCAAATTACTCCTTGTGATATAGTGCTATCATTTTTGTACTGCTTCCACAAATAACCACCTTATAAAAAGTAGTTATAAGCTTTCCTTCTAATCTGCTTAAAATGAATATCATTTCATCTTGATTGCCTTGATAATATGATCAAAGAGTGTTCAATATCTATCTATTCTTCTTCATATAATTCTTCCATAAATGGTTTTGGATATTCATTTTCTCCTTGATGTGTTCTAAAATAAAAGGTAGTATCTATATCTTTGGTATCATCAATCAAATCTTCATCTTGTTTATAGCTAGCCCAAGATAGCATATCTTCTACTAGATTATTTTTGCATATTATATGCTTGAATTCAAGATTTAAAGATTTGGTATATGCAATCCATCTTAGCATAACAATATCAAGGGTATTAAAATTAGTAATTATTTTTAATAGTAGCAAACAATCTGCTTCTACTATCACTTGTGTTTTAATTAAATAATCTCTTTCAATCCTTATAGCTGTAACTGTCCTCCATAACTTCCGTTTTACTTGTGGATAATTCTTTTATTATTCATTCAACACTTTAGCTCAAAATCTAATAGAAAACTTATTTCTTTTTTCATCATTTTGTCCTTAAGTCCAATCAATAGCTATTGGACTTGTATCAACTATAAATATTACTAGTTTATTCCCTTCATAACTTATCTTTTGTAGTACAAGTAGAGAAAATAATAAATTCTTTAGTTTTTGAATTGCTTTTGTATACTTCTTCTCTCATTTAAATCTTTTTTTTTTTGTAATAAACTATAGAGAGAATCTACTATATGTGCATAGTAAAGAATCCACACATAATAAAATATGCAAACTCCTAAAAATCTCCGCACTTCTATTTGTGTGCTATAAATTTTCTTCATCCATTGTATAGCATCCACTTTATTTGGATTTGGCTTGCGACCAAACCATCTACATAAATGTCCCACAATAACAACCTTTTAATCTCCAAAAGTGGATTTAGCCCCTGATAATGTCAAGTGAACTTCCTCAAGCCATGATAAAATCTTATTACAGTCTAAAATATGATTAGATACAAACTTATGCCACCGCCTTTGATCCATTGCTTCATTTTTTTTTCTTCTTCCACACACCTTTTTATTGAGATATCATCCAAGAAAAGCATGTTTTTTTTTGGAATAAAATTTTAAAGAACCTTATTTATTCCATTCATCATGTGAAAAACTAAATTTGTTGCACCCTAATGTAATGAATACATTTTTACCAATCTTAAAGATGTCCTCATAGTGGTAATATCTTTGCTTCCTTTAGCTAGTTGGAATTGATCATATTCAAAATAAAGATCTTCAATAAAATAAATAGCTCTACTTGCAAGTGCCTTAGCAAATTTATCTAATAAATCACTTAAGTTTTCTTGACTAAGACATCATTAGAATTGTAATAAAGACTAATAAGAGATACATGATCTTTTTTTAATAAATAGCAAGATACAACATATTGGATATGACAATCTTAGAAGAGATTCTAAATGTTCACTGATACTATTAGATATATGTATTTGATAGAATACAAAATGTATTGTTTGAAGGTAGTTATAAAGACCACAACAATGATCAAATAACAAGATGGTTTACTTTCCATGGTATGAAATATTTTGTAGTTGAAAGAATCTATCAACCACCTTTGTATAGAGCATAAATTGGAGTTTGTTATTAATACTATTTAATGAATCTAGACTTCATCAACTTATAAAGCAATTTGACTACTCTTTGTGGAACCTATCACCTGGATGAAAAATTACCAAAACAAATGTCTATATTATTTTAATAAATAAAAATAAATAAAAATAAAAAGATATTTGTTGAAAAGATAATATCTACTTTAAAATGCTTAAAAGAAGTCTTTTAGATGCAAATTAGATATTTAGACTTTTATAAGTGTTTTATATGGCTATTAAAATTTGTTCTACAAGTTTTTTTTATTTCTATGAAGTTGTATTAAAAGCAACCTACAACTTGATGCTCAAGCGACAAGCCTTGCAATTCCTAGAAAGCTTGTACAAAATCATCTTTAAAGCTAGCATATAGATATAAGACTAAGGCTATTTTTAGTCTTATTGGTATCTTTTTTATGTTCCAATCTTAATTGAAGTTTTTTTCAGTTCTTTTATATTTTGCAATAGCTATTTTAGTTCTTTTCTATCTTATGAGAATATCTTCTTTTTTTACTTTCTCCATTCTTCACTAACACATGAATTTATAGTCTTTTAAGTTATTGTCTAAATTTATGTGCTTGACATACATCTTAGAAAAAATATGATAATTAAAATTTTAATATAATATCATATATTAATATTGTCAAGTTAAATTAATCTTTATATTTAAAGAATTATTAGTTAAATTAAATAAGATCTAAAATATTGATTTAAATTTTAAATTATAATATTTTGTGCTTAAAAAGCATAATTAAAATCTTAAAAAACCATAACCTATTAGAATAAAGATTAAAGTAATTTATATTATACTCCAAAATATCAAAATATTCCGAAATTATAATATAATTAAATTTTGTTACTTCCATCTAATAAAAGATAATTTTACAACTTAAATCTAAAATAATTTGATAAAATAAATAAAATTCAAAATTACACAAAGAAATTAATACAATCCATGGTTGTTTTACTAAGATTCAAATTGCCATACATGCAATTGTAGTTCTATCAACCTAAGCACTAAAGCAACTAAAACCATTGAGAAGTTTTGAGAGAAAATCCTAAATATCCACCAAATAGAATATTCACATCGTTATTCCTTTCTTAGAACCTCCATCAAGATATTTATTAAATGACAAATAAATCTACCATACTCCATATACATTGTGTAGAAAAAATGCAAGGCATTACTGTAGCAATGTGATTTTATTGTAAAACCAAAGTAATGCAAATGTAGTGAATAATAGAAATTTGAACTACCTCTTTCATATATTTACATATTAACGACCAATCTAAATTTGCACCAACTTGTACTTGTTTGTTTCTTTGTTTGAGCAAATAGTGTGGTCTCATCCTATTTGGCCATGTGTAGAGATTCAAATAAGTCAGAATTTTTAAGTAATAGAAATATCCATGCACAGGAACTGTGCCAATTGTTTGTGTTGCATATCTCCAAAGAAATGGAAGAGATTTTAATCTTCAGAATTGCCAAATGTAACCTCCTGGAGCAAGCCCATCAATCACCATGGATTCCAAATCAAACAACAATTCTACAAACTCTTTAAGCACACCCATTTCTCACTGATTCTTGTAACACTTGTCTTCCTTACAATTGTCCTTAACGTAGGAAGCCAAGTGTAATTAAGGACAATTGTAATTAACGTAGCTAGCACACTACAAGGCAGGTGATATCTTCAATTGAAATAGCTGAAGAGGTCAACAGACGTTGATTTTGCTACCAGTAATTAAAAAGCTGACAGGGATATGGCGTGTGGGATAAGGGACCCAAACCTGGTGGGCTACTCCAAAGGTTTGCAGGTCCATCTTCACATCTGCGGATACAAGACCCTCTGATCTCAAACAAATCCTAAACCTCTCAAACCCCAAAAGCAACGCAGATCATACTCAGCAAAAACCAATCTAATTGCACATTCAGACCCCCTCAATGTGTTCGAGCTCAGAAGAGCCGATGGAAGCCTATTCCTTGTGTTGATTACCATTAAACACGCACTATACAGGACAATTAACAACGCAAAGTCAATTACCACAATGAAACAATATCTTGGCTCCGTTCCTCAGCTCCGCTACCATATTCCGAGATGCCCATCTCGACGGAAGCGATGAAGTCTCCGATACAAGCAGACGCCGTACTCTAGGCTGGGGTGTGGACGAACATAGAAGGTGAAACCCAGATAGCAATTGGGATAATATTTTTCATTTTGAACGTATAAAGGCTATCCAAACAAGCTGGATAATGTGCTGCCATGACATGGCGTTAAAATGTGTATGATGAGACCCTAAAAAACTTTGTTCAATCAGAGAAATAAATTGATAGACCAAATTGGGACATGGAATGCACAGGCCTTCTTTACAAAGAGTACAACAAAGTACACTCGGTGCTAGCGAGCTTCTCGGAACACGCAGTGTTCTGTAAGCACCTGCGAAACTAGTTGCTGAATAGACTCGTTTTCTAAAGATTTTGTTTTATAAGAAAATAAAATATTGTCAATGGTTTCAGGTAAGAAAAACTAACAAAAAGCTCATTGTCAGTCCCAACATTTCGCAGTGCGTAACCCATCCTGTCAATGAGCAGGAGGCTTGTTGAGAAGCAATCTCTCGTACATCTCAAGAAGTTCTTTCTTAGAAGGGTTTCGAGTAGCCAGCACTTCTGCACCAAACCCAGCTTCTGTCATCCTCTGCTTCAGCTTTGCAATAGTCAACTTACGATAGTTTGTGGTCTCAACTATCTCGCTCGAGGTAGCTCCACTGCCACCTTCCTCACCCTCATTCAAGTAACTGGCGTTGTCGAAGTGATGATCCATCTTATTCCTCTTGAATGCACTCGCGTCGATGTCCATATCCTGTGCGGACGCCTCGAACCCTGGTTCATATACGTGGCTATAAGGTAAAGACTTTTCAGCCATAACACAGAGCACGAGCTAGCCGAGTGAATAACACCAACTTCTAAACTGCAACGTGCTTATTAACGTGAACTCGTGCAAAATACGTCATGCACATCAAAACTAAACGCTCTTATCAACTGACAATGAACCCAACCATACAAACTGAGATTGTAGCGAATTAGCACACACCTTCACCTGGGAAGGGTCTTTTGCTACGAGAGGAGCCCATTGGTGATTTGCCAGGTGGAGTATCCGTAAAACCCCTGACTCTGGTTTCCAAAGCAATTTCGTGGTTGCGCACTGCTGTAAGTTGTCCCTGCAAGTTGTCTATCTGCCCCTGCATGTGTTGAATCTGTAACGAAAGAGACTCGGCTCTTTGGCTTGCTTCAGCCTTCGCAGCTCTTTCGCTAGCCAACAATTTCTCAAACGCCTCTACTGTCTTCGCCCGCTGCTCTTGTGAAGAAGAGAGTAAGTTTTCCATTTCCTTTTCCCTATCTTCATGCTGGCTCTCCAACGCAGACACCCTTAAGACTGCCTCTTGCTGCATCTGCATGGCCTCTTCAAGGTTCTATGTGTTCCACCACAGAAAATATCGTGTACACTCAGTGTCCATAGGAGCGAAACATGGAACATATATGATCGTAGATAATTTGGCAATGAAAACTGACAAGCACAATACTTGCCCTCAACGACACATTGCATATTTCAAAGTGAATACAATGTGACACTACATCATGCTTAAGAATATTTGAAGCGTGTAGTAGAATAAACCAAAAACTAAAATAAATAAATAAATAAATAAATAAAAACGTGAAAATTTGCACCTGAACCATTTCATCTCTTTCTTGTTCCAATACTTGACATCGCCGTTGAATGCGTTCAACTTCAGTCATTCTCTCTGCAGCCAATTTCTGTGTCTCCAACTTCTCCCTCTCTTGAGTAATTGCTTCAGCACGCGACTTCTCCGCAGCTTCAATGGCACGCTTTGCATCACGTTCTGCTATTTTCCTCATCTGCTCTGCCTCTTCCATCCTCCTGATGCACTCATTCATGCGTCGCTCCGCATAAGCCTTGTCTTCTTCTGCCTTCTCTAGGTCCCTTCTAAGGGTGACGTCCTGAGACTTGGTGCTTTCTAATTCTTGTTGTACACACTTAAGCTCTGACCGTAATGTCACTAACTCTTCAGACTGGTCAGTTGTTTTAAATTCAATCTCCTGCAAAATAGGCAACGCTATCTGTTGACAAAAGAACTTGGCAAACAAAAGAAATATCTCTAAACTCGTACTAATTCCAAAAATCCCAAACCTAAGAAGTTGTCACTATGTAACAGCTCATGTATGGAAACAAAAAATGAGGTCGCATTACATGCAAGTTTGTGATCAAGCCGACGATGCGTCTTTCTCCTTGCTCCAACTTTGCCTGCAACTCTTTAACCTCCTGCTCCTGCAATCAAAAATCATCTGCCCAATTCAGTAATATATCCTACTCAAATAGAAGAATACAACTTATTTGTATGCATTTCAATGGTTTTTCATCTCATCAAACAAGATGTCATGTAAAATAGATGTGATTAACTGAGAATGATACCTTGTCGGAGAGTTTCGCAACATGTTCGGCACGCATAGAATCCTCACGCAGTTGAGCTTGCTTCAGCGCTCGCTCCTTATGCGCGGTGGCTTTCTCAACAGCAGCCTTCGTATCAGAAGCAATCGCCTCATACTTGCGCTGCCATTCTACGGCCTCGAACTTAACCGACTCAGACTGCTCTCTCAATGCTGCCAACCTAGCCTCCGCGGTACTGGTCCGATTCTGCACGTTGTACAACCATACCATATGAATACAACCTTCTGATGCACTGCAATGTTTGAAGGTATATTGCAAAGATGCTTAACGTTACTAACAACAAGACTCAAAATGAAGTATGTTGGTCAACCTGGAGAGATGCAATCTCAGAGTTCAGTCTCTCAGTTTCAGCTCGTTGTGCTGCAACAAACTGCTCATACTTGCTATGCCAATCAAGAGCCTCCTTCTTTGCGCCCTCAAGCTGGGTTAGAAGATTTGAACGTCTCTCTTCCAGAGAAGAAACCTTTTTCTGTACATTAGCATATTGAGCAGCTGCATTCTCAGAAGCTCTGTTATAATCATTCATAATGTTTTCGTATCGCTTCTTCCAGTCTTGAGCTTCGCGTTGTGCAGCCTCGGTTTGCTTGGCTGAGAATGCCAAACGTTCTCCCATTGATCGACCTTTCAACACAAGGTTTTGATACTCTGTTGCGGCTTTATCACTTGCTCGCTTCACAAGATCATGTACAGGGCCAGTCAAGCTGCAATTCAACAGGAAGTGTCAAATTCAGGCGAAGGGCAAACAAATCTTCAATCTGACATTGCTGCCGCTAGATTAGTACTACATGAATGGATTGACGTGCGAACATTCAGTATTCGTGTATAAGACGAATCTCATCCAGGAACTAATCGGAAAAATCCTACGCCATTATCGCATTAAGCGAAAAGACATTACTTTCAAATACAGAAAAATAAAGGAAGTAACTAACATAAGAGGCGAGTAATAACACCATCAGTCACTTGTGCATGCTTACATCCAAGTGCAAAAAGGACCACAAAGACTACCTTTTCTGCATAAACTGCACAAGTTTCTGATACTTGAACAAACCAGATACTTGAGATTCATATTCAACCACCATCTCATCCAAAACCTGCAAAAGAAATACTCATGATTAAAACACCCTGTGTAGACAAACGATATGAAGCAATTCAAGATAAGGCACATCACCAAACAAGAAGTAATCAATATCATACCTTGGTAACGGACTCAAAGGTAGCGTCAGGAGCATTGCAAGCATTTCGCAACTTCTCCTCCATTATGCCTACTGCTCTTAAACACTTAAGCTCTGCTTCCATGGATGACTTTCGTTTGAAGTCCTGCGAAACGACTCATGAAATTACAAAGTGTATCAGCCTGAAGGAAAAAGATAGATGCCAGAAGATAGAAGATGTACCTCAAAACACAAGGCCAACCTGAATGTGCAAAACAGATACTTAAAGAATCCATGTCCACAGCAAAAAAGAGTACCTCGAACTGTCGCTTAAGAGTAGCATGCAGTTGCTTCTCGTGATTTCTTCGAACAACTCCGTTCCCAACAGCCTCGGAATTATAAACAGAAAATGCTGCTTGGACAGCTTCTTCTTGTGCTTCTTGAAGAGCAACCTGCATTCAGGTGATAATACATCCAAAGGCTGATCAGCATTTAACACTTTAATATGTGAAGCAAGATGTTCTCAATAAGTTGTTCATTAAACTACACATGTCTCCCTTGATGTAGCCAACCAGCAGAAGAAGAAGAACCGCAAAAGAGCCACTTGATTGGAATAAAGCATTGGCATCTAACCTCATCATGAGTGACATCCTTATTGAAGACTAAGGAATATTTTTGAACTGCCATGTCATGAGCACGTCGGCACTCATTCTCTTCAACATTCTGCACAGATTGTCTAGCAGTTAATACTTGAAAAACTAAACAACTCAAACAACCAATTCGATGTTTGGTTGTCCAGGCATTAATCGACATATACGCCGGTGCTTTGATTGACAAGCAGCAACAGATAAACACACACTGAAATAAGCGAAAATAGAAGTCACTTTGCATCATTGAAATTGCGGGGCCTTCCTGAGGTAGTAAGGATTAACCTGCCAAGAAGTTGATATGGTGGGGACAGCACCAGCGTTTATGGCATCCAAAAATGATTGTGTTAAACCAGCAAACATAGGACCATTCATCACAAGAGTGCCGAGCTGCTTAGGTCTTGTTCTTTCAAATATATATTTCGTCAAAGCATCGAGCCCTACTCTGAACTCTGGTCGCATTTTCTCCATCTGTAAGACAATCAATCCCATAAGAAGCTAAAGTTGCATTCAGCGTGAAATTTGAACACGTACATCATCACGGAAGGTAAAGTTTCACAACAACTCACATAAGAAAGTCTCAAGAACATAGAAAAGGTACAACCCTGCTTACGTTTATTTGGTCAAGTTTCTGCAGCTCTTTTTCATCATTCAGGGGTCGCACAAGTGTGAAACAATCACGCTCAGGAAATAAAGCCCGAATAGAACTTCGTATCTGCAGATACCAGCAAACAAGAGCATTAACTTTCGCTTGAAGTGAACACGACTAGCTCAGAGTTTTCTCAAATAACTTATAAAACTTACTGCGAATAACAGTCCTATAGGACTGAGCTTGCTAAGTAAGCATAAAGACTAGCTACTTTGCATGTGCTGGATTAACCTCGTTCTTAGAAGAAATAGCTTTTCCAGCGCCGGGAATGGACTGCAGAGCTGACTCCAAATAGTCTCTTGGAGTGATACGATGTCCATCCTCAGTCAAGTCTAAATAAAAATCCTGTACAAAACACGCATCAATATTCGATGTATTTCAAACAGAAGAATATGAAGGATTAAAAAATAATAAATAATAAAAAACGTTCCTGAAAAGCGAAACCTTTCATACTGTGAACCAGGGACAACCACCCCAGTGCAAAATCAATTAAGAAGAGACGATGCACCCTTCTGCTATGAATAGAAAAATTGATTTCAGTCTCACTGCCAGCGTCGATTAACATCATCAAGCTCATAACATCTCAAGTATAGAGCGTTAATGTAGACGTTTAGAAAACTCACTCGAAGCAACCACAAGAAAAGAGGAGAGAATTGTCCAATCTCGGAGGCTGAAGCTCCCCGTGAAGATGATGCTCGAACTTGGATGTGTTTAGTCATCTCCGTCACAAGGGATAATTTATCCAAAGCTGCCTCATCAATGCCACCCATCTGTTCAATCCAAAGTGATCCACCTACGTTAGGATACCGATGATTAAATCAAAGCATGTAAGACTTCCCTCCACTTTCCAAATGTGCCGATATACTGTGGTTCAGTTAGAACCCGCAGTATCAGCGCAGTAGCTGTGATTCGGAGCTATCAGATGTTCAGCCAGCATCCTCCAGTTTAAATGTAAAAAGGAACATCACTTAAGGAAATGATGGGCATAGCACTGACCTGATTATATACGAACATGCTTGATAACAAAACAGCCAAGGAGAAGATTTGTGTGCTGTATGTTCCCTGCCAAATGTGGATACAGTCAACAGTAAGTCTAGTGAGAAGAAGGAAGGGGGTGAAGGTGGGAAAAATTGGGAGGGAAGAAGGGAGTTGGAATGGGAACTTAAAACATAGATCCAGTCGAGCAAGGAACAATACTAAAATCAAGTCGTAAAGAAAAGAACTTACCGTTTGATCATAAGCATCTATTCCTTCGCTGTCCAGGAGTAATAAACTGTATTCGCTGCCATCAGGTGCTGTCCTCTTCAGAGGAGAACTCCACATCCATAAACCTTTCGTACAAGGCCTGTGTGTGGGTCCAACAGTAAAACCACTACTTCGTCCAAGAAGCTGTACAGAAACGAACAACAGTATATCTTCACCACTAGATAATCCTAGAACCTATTATGGTTGCTCAGTGAAGATTATATTCGAAGATAGCAGGTGCAGGAAATTGTACATGTGGTTGACTCCTGCAACATACAAATGAAGGGATAGAACTAAGATTTCCAAGCGCAGAAGTCTTCGCATGTAATTTAAGAGGTGATGGACTTAACAAACCTGATTTAGAATGAAACTCTTCCCTTGTCGAGCACGTCCACATACAGCTACTACACCAAGCGGACATTTCACCATATGTAGAGCTGCCACCGCTTCTGGATCCATCTTAAACTTGCCTTTCTCATCGCAATACACGAGTCGTAGAGGACGAGCTGGACCACCTGCACCACTCGTGGGAGGAACTGCATACTGTGGTCGCTGGGTTTGTATAACAACTGGTGTTTCAGGCTCGGGTTCGGGATCATCTGGTTTAGGCGGTTTCTGGGGAGTCCGAAAACCAAACCTGGACAACATCTTGCTCGTTTATCCAATTCTCCACTACAGTTAACAGGTGAAATATAATAGGGTCCTCCTTGAACTCTATCTGGAGAAAACTATCAAGTGCGTCTAGCTCGGTGAATTAGGCTCCCTTCCTGTATTTGATCTCTCATAAATCTGCACAGAAATGCTCCGTAAATAATTAAAAACAAAACCAAAAAAAAAACTATCTAACGGCAATGGAACGTACCAATCAATCTAAATCTCATTTCAAAATTATTTTATGTGTCGTACCCAACATTGCTGAACAGGACAGAAAGCAACCCTTGGTGTCTTGTGCAGAGGATGGCCATATCAGGTGTTCCTGGACATAATCCTACGACATTTTATCGGTGCTCATCGTCACAAGAGTTTATTGACTTTGTTCAGACAGAACACATAACATTACTCATCCTTGGAAGGAGACAATGTGTGATGATTCAAATACTTCGAGCTTCGCAACGAATGAATAGCTCCACAAGGCTGTCCTGGTGGACTTTTCAAAATTAATGACATATCCTACCCAAGCCTAATCGCCCTAATTCCTCCCACTACACCCTCAACAACAGGCTCCATTGTATTCTCAAACCCCAAGCAAAAAAACTAATTCTCTGCAAGGTAGGCTCTCTCAGCCACTGATCACACGATCTCGTCCTTGTACATGACCGAAGATCTCATCAAAAAACGAAACAAATAGGTCCACTATTCCAGTGTCGACATGACAAGAAGGAGAAGAATAATAATTTTAATAATAATAATAATAATAGCCTCACCTTATCAAATGCCCTTGGTGCCCTTGATTCAAATAACACACAACAAGCTCCCGGGCCCTAACTCCAGGATCGCCCTCTTCACCGCGAAGCTCCGGAGCTTCAAAGCTACAGATGAGGAAAAGGGTAAGCCGGGTGGGATCGTTGGAAACCCTAAGCACGGGGGATTGATACAAACTTCAAATGAAAAAATATGCCGGGAAAGATGGCATGATCCAAATGGAGGCGGGAGGGAAACAGAGAGCGCGAGAGAGAGCGAGGGAGGCGCCAGGGGCTCCGGTATTGGGGGGAGTAATGAGCCGTCGACTTGAAGGAGGACGATTGATGGCCACTATTCCCCGATGAAGCACGAGGGGCTTTTAGGTTCAGCTTAAACAATCCAACTTAATATACATATATATATATGGATGCAAATCATTCAGTTATTTATCATCCGTTCGGTGGAGTCCATCTCGGGCAGGCTAATGCATTGCCATAAAGCACCTGACTAAATAAATCTGAAAATGCTTCCAGATTTTATTTTAAGGCTGTGGAGGCTACTCCTCTTGGCTAAGGCGGTGTGTAATTCTATAACTTATTTGGGCGGCCACAATGGCTTTTCAACCCATTTGTCTACTTTGTACATTTGTTGAGGGGAATGTTAAATGTTAAATGGATCCAAGCTTTTGCTAAATGTACCCATCCACCCTAGCCATCATGAAAAAAAAAATACTGATTTCTAGATTCATTTTCTCATTATTGGATCTGCAACCTATAAAAACCAACCATCATGATTACCATACTCTTCATCAAAGGTGGATCTATTTAGTAAAAGCATGGGTCTATTTAACATCCCCCCTTTTTATATCTTCATCTAGATGTGCTTAATGTTAAAGTTTTATTTCTCCTCATATCTAAGTTGGGAATGGATTCTAGATAACCATAGATATTTAGAATTATTATTATTATTATTATTATTTTTTTGAGTTTTTATTTACATAAACTTTGAGTAAATATGATTATAATGCAGTTGTGAATAGAATCTAGTTATTTTATAGATATTTAAAATTCAAAATTCAAAATTTAAATATGCATTTTTAAACTATATAATATTATCAAAATTTGATCAAGTTCTAAAATATATTTAAGAACATAAAAGATTATTGTAATTCAAATGAATTGTCAAAAATATATTCTTTTACGATGCAAGTTTAAATTGGATACCATTTTTTGCAATAAATTATATGCTATGTTTTTCTAATGACATAGATTATGTAGTAGAAAAAAAAAAGGAAAAAAAAGAAAAAGAAAAAGAAAAAGAGCATATTTTGTTAAACATTTAAATAAACGAGTTTATGGAAAATTTAAAAGTTAAATTGTAATAAATTTACTTATAATACATCTGAAGTGTTTTATTTAGAAAACATGAATGTGATGATAATTTTCTAATACAAAGGCAGTCATCAAATTTTAGAATTTTGTGTAATTTTTTTATTATCAAATTTAGATAAAATAAAAAGATAAAATTTTGTAGGTATATTAATATCAAAAGCATGCAAACAATTCATTTGAATTACAATAATCCTCTAACTTGTTGATTAAAAAAAACATCATAATAGAAAAATCTTATTTATTCATCAAATCTATGGTTATTGTGGAGATTTAAAAAATCATAATTTTTTTGTAGATTGTATCAAACTTTTATTGTTGATAACATCAATATACTAATAAACTGACAGGATATTTGAATTGTTTTAGAATTTTTAACTCGCATGTACATTACCAAATATATATGATATTTTTATTAATTGGATTTATATTTATAGTTTATTTAACTACTATTTGTTATTTGATTATTTTGATAATACATTTTGAAATTTTTCATATATTATTTCAATAAGAAATAACTTTTTCTTAATTAAAATTTTATGTCTAAATATTATAAAGATATATACATATCTATATGTTTGAATATATATATATATATATATATATATATATATATATATATATAATATTTTTATTTATTTTTTATACTATTTTCTGGATTTATTTTTTATATTCATATTATGGAGATAAAAAAACAATTTAATGTAATACTAAAATTACATAATTTTTTAAAATCACATAGTTTTTTTGTTGGACTTCTACAAAGTTTTCTTTACTCATTTCTCCACTCACACGAATAACTTGTGGAAACAACTTAGAAATGAAGAAAAATGCAAAAGCTACAATTTTAGATGTATAATAAAAATTACCATAATATGTGTTTGACATTGTCTTAATTTTCTTGATCCATTCTTTACTATGGACATTTAAGTTTGCATTAGATGAAACTTAATTTCAAATATTGGATTTTATTATATCTCTTTTTATTCAAAACATTTTTTAACTAGCAAGATAAATGATGAGATCCACAACAAAGAACTTATTAACATAAATTTATCTCGAGAATATCAGTATTGTTTTTAAAAACTCCAATCTAACGACATTTTAAAAACCATACATCGAAACTAGAATCTGCTAATGCAATACCCACTACTCTGAACTTCCCAGCCCTAAGCGGAGAGATAGATCTCCACAGCCCGAATCTTCAAAGAGGAGCAACGGCGCAAGCGTGGAATAGAAGGGCTGACTGACAGTCACCGAGAGTGTGGACTCCTCACGACGGGGTCAGCAAGCCACGAGGCCACCTCTCAGCCACTTTCGATTCCAGCGTGTTCTTTTTTAGCCTACGTGGTCTGCCACCTGGACTTGTCGCAATCGCCTAGTCAGCAGATGTTGAGAGGTGTGAATCATGGGCCCTCCTTGTGCAGATCAACTTCATGGAATTGGGTCCCGCATGTGCTTAAAAGATGAGGACAGTCCAGAGACTCTTAATTTCTTAACCCACCTCTATTTCTTCTTCTTCTTTTCCACATTCACATTAATTTTTACCTTAGTATTTTGCAACGCGGAGTGTAAACGTACATAATTATATTTTGCAAGAAACAGTGTTCAATTTCGTGTAATATTCGAATAATCTTATGTCATTCATGAATCCTCTCTCGTGAAACTTGTAATAGTGATAGAATATTTTTATTCAAATTCTAATAACTTCCAGAAAAAAAAGTCATTAACTTCTTGTTGAAGTCTTTAAATATATATATATATATATATAGCTATCTATTCGTTTTACAATGTGTACTCAGTTCTGTTGCTACAATCAAAATTACGTATCAATATCTGCAGTGGCACACAATGGCAAATAAAAGAGAATTGAATTCCAGTCTGTTAGTATGAAGGGCTATGAAAACTACACTATCAAAAATTAGCTTTGGTGGGCCATGATGTACTTCTTCTCATGGTTTATAACTTAATTTCTACACCATCCTCAATCTAATATTATAAACATGGAGGAAGAGGAGTACACTCAACCACCTAGTCACGCCCACAAGGCACCGCATCACTGGCTAAAGGGCGACAGAGAGTGCAGTGTGAGGAACAAACGAAGTGGATTATTGGGGAGCGAGGGGGGGAAGCAAACGGAGAAGAGAAAGAGTGGAACGAGGGGGGCAAGATCTCGGGACGTGGGACTGCCGCACACGTAGGACTTCGTAAAAGCATGGCCTCGGATCCCCGTCGCCACCTCGTCCATGAGCAAGGGGTCCCAATTCTGACACGTGGAAACTCTGCCATTGTGGCAGTATCCAGGGGGCCCTCTACCCTGGGCGAAGGGAAAAGCCGGATCGCGTGAACAATCGTCGCAATATCGTCGTAGTCACTGCAGGAGGAGGGATGAGGGACGAAGCCTTTGATGGTCGATTGCTGAGGGAGAAAGCCACACACACACAGAGCTGGATCTGGGTGTTGCGTGTGAGTCTAGTTCCATGCGGAATTACGGTGGTGGTGGTGTTGGTTACAACTGAGGTGTGTGTGTGTTTGTCTATTTATTCATTATATATATATATATATATATATATATATCTATATGTCTGTGTGTGGGTGGTGGTAGTGGATGTAGTCAACTGAGGAGTAATTTGCGATGAACAATGTATGGTTTGATGTGTGGTTTGGAGTTTCGATTCTGATGCTGCGGGATGGAATCTTGCGAATTTTGGATTAGGAGGAGGTGGAGGTCGTAGTGGCGTGTAGTGAATACCCGTGCGCTTTGTCTCTGTGTCTGTGTAGTGTTTTTTAGTTTTTTTAGTTTTTTTTGAGAGGAATCATAGAGGGGATTGCTGAAGTTGTGTGACAAGTTCGTCGGGGCATTGAGAGCCGAGGTGCACGGTGGCCTGGTTTTCGGAGATGGTTCGTTAGTGCGTAATGCGTAGGCGGTTTCTGGGCCTTGAGTTTTGGAACGTGACGGTTTTGCATCACTTTGGATTGTTTTGGACCATCTGTGAGATGGATTAAGAGTTGTAAGGATCCTTTCTTCCGGTTTTTCGCTTTGAGTCACGTGGTTGCACGGTAGAGCAGAGGATTATGTGTGAATCCTTTTGTCTCACTGGCACGAATCGATCATGTGGAAGGGGAGGGCACGGGTTGTAAGTTGGGCATTTGCACAAATTCATTCACAGATCCTCAGTCGCCGCAATACTTTGAAACATGCAGGGGTGCTGATGACCTGCTTCTCCTGGAAAGCTTTTGTGATTATTCGAAGTGTGGATTTTGGGGAGGTGATTGAAGCTACTTCCGGGTACTGAGTGTAGTTTTGGTGGATTTGTCCCACTAGTCTTGTTTCGTCTTGGGGGCGATTTGTGAAAAGGTATTGCGGTGAATGATATATCATTTTCTCCTTTCTAGATTCTCTGTTTGCTGTTGTTCTAATTAAGCTACCAGTGTTTATCAGCGACAGGAAAAAGATGGGAGAGTGGTCAATTATACAGACAACTGCAGAGCTGACCGTGGTTCAGATCCATCGCAGTAGCGTTGGAAGATACATAGATTGGAATGTATTGAACACGCTCATGTGTTAGTGGGTATTTCTGATTATGTAATGTCATGCTTTCGTGTACGTAAAACGAGGGTTTATTATTATTATAGAAACTTGGTGCTCAGAAAGTTTGGGGATTGGATGCTTAGCTCTTTGAATTGGGACGAAATTTACAGGCATTGTACTTGAGCTAGTTTCCTCTTGACCTATTATAAGCGTCGAAAGAACTAGTTGGTTGTTGTGGTTGTATGCGTTAGTGGGATTCTATTTTGTTTTTGCGTTAGCATCACTGGGACATTTCGCTTTTTCGTTGTAGGTTGTGGTCAGAACCGACATGATTAAGTCCGGCGCTTATTGATTAATGGTTTGAGATTTTAATTGAAGATCAGGGATTCTAATCTTTTACATATAGTGGTTGAGTCTGAGCTTTAGGGTTTCAATATGTCGAGTTTAGGTCAAGACGAACATTTTGAACTGTCCCGGATGCCATAATTTCTCTCGTGGATTCTGTTGCGTAGAATATTCCCGCTTACTATCCCAGCAGTAAATAGTTCAAATTCTCTTTAACCCTACAGCCGGTTCAATTAAGCACTGATTTTGAGACTGAACGTGCCGGTCACTTATTGCCTCAAGCAGTCTCAAACTTCCTAATGTATGTTTATTCAACCGTTTCTTATTTTATTAGGTGAAGGAGTATGCTTCGCAAATTTGCTTCCTAGAAGCGAAGAGAAGTTTGATACGTGTATTCGATTGTCGTCAGTAGATGCAGTGAGCTGATTTCATCAAATGCGATTTGCATGTAAGCTTTTCTTTTCTGTGGGCAAATTCACTTTGTAAGCTAGTTAACAACTATTTTGTTTGTTCGCCTCTTATAATTGCACGATTCTGCAGTAACTCTATTCGATTTTATTTGGTATTAATTCTCAACAAAGAAGGGCCGACATTTTTCATTTGTTTATTTTGCAGTACAATCTTCCCGACAGAATGGATCTTCTCAAGTTAAGTTGAGACATGGTGAATAGGAATTCGATTTTATGGGGTTGGGCAGAAATCATCGTAACAGGTTTAGAATGACAGTTTGACAAGTCTTGATAGTGACAGAATAGGATCAGAGTTCCAAGTGTTCGTCCCCACCATGACAACAGATTCTGAGCCTCTTTTGCGTTCGAGAAACTTGAATGGGGCTGGCATTAAAGCTACAGGACGACAGTGTCATGATGACGCGGATAGAGCATATGAAAAATCAGAGCAAATCAATGTCCATTTTGGTGACGAACCAGATACCGATGAGGAAGGAGGAGATATAGACTTTCTTCCAAAATTTTCATGGCGTAAGCTGTGGATGTTTGCTGGACCTGGATTTTTGATGAGCATTGCATACCTTGACCCTGGGAACATTGAGAGTGACCTGCAGTCAGGAGCAACTGCAGGATACGCCCTTCTGTGGTTACTAATGTGGGCCACAATCATGGGGCTTCTTATCCAACAGCTTGCTGCTAGACTTGGAGTTGCAACAGGTTGTCACTTGGCAGAGCTATGCAGAGAAGAATATCCTGTATGGGCTCGTATGGTTCTTTGGGTCATGACAGAGGTCGCCATTATTGGTGCCGATGTTCAACAAGTCATTGGAAGTGCTATTGCCTTCAGGATCCTTTCAAATGGCTGGATACCCCTGTGGGCTGGTGTGCTGATTACTGGCATCGATGGGTATGATCGTGTTCTCTAGTTTCTACAAAATTGTAATAGAATTGTCCAGGTTAGGTATATGTCAGGGTTAAACCTGATGACATTTTTATTTTTATTTCTAATGTGGTGAAAAACTTTTCTCTTTATGGGTTTGAATTACATTTGATTGACAATCTTCAGGGTTATCACTTCAACTTATAGTTAGTAATCGCCGTTCACAGTTTAAAAAGCTACTGTTATAAGGTTCCTGGGAAAAGACTTACTCTTGGAATCTTTTGTTGTTGATCATAGCCGTCACAGATGGTCTGTACTTATTACTTATTGATATTGGTGCTTGTAAAATGTAGTTGATAGAAATGAATGTATCGGTAGAGGTTCATAGCTGGCACTTGTGCGAGGTTAATAAGTTTGCTAGCATTCTTGTCAACTCACGTTTCTGCAAATTCGGTCCTGTTCTGTGTTTTCAAGGAGGATTAACGCTTGTTTTTTCGAGAAATTTTCAGGTTCTTGTTTCTCTTTTTGGAGAACTTTGGCGTTAGAAAACTAGAGCTTTTATTCTGCGTTTTCATTGGAATCATGGCACTTTCATTTGCGTGGATGTTTGGAGAGACCAATCCAAATATCAAAGCTGTTGCCTCTGGTGCGCTAACAGCTTTCCTTAGCTCTGCTAATTTCTCGTTCATGAGTTGGTCTGTTATTTGCACAGGTGATATTGAAAAGGACTACCTGTGCTGTATGTGCTTAAAGCCTGGTTTTAGCCTTGCAGGCCTTATATTTCCGTCTGTTCCCAGAAAGGCCGTGGATAAAGCTGTCGGAATTGTTGGGGCTGTCATCATGCCACACAATATATTTCTGCATTCTGCTCTTGTTCAATCACGGGATGTAGACATCTCCAAGAAGAGTCGTGTGCGTGAAGCTCTCCGCTATTACAACATCGAATCATTTGTCGCTCTTTTCATCTCCTTCTTGATCAACCTCTGCATCATGGCTATTTTCGCAAAGGCCTTCTTCGGGAAAGACGAAGCAGAAACTATTGGTCTGGCGAATGCTGGAGAGTATCTCCAGCGGAGATATGGAGGCGGTTTATTCCCAATTCTCTATATATGGGCCATTGGGCTGCTAGCTGCTGGTCAGAGCAGTACTATGACCGGCACATATACTGGTATGCCATTGACATGATTTGAATGTTATTAGATCACTGTAGGCCTTGGATGTAAGAGGGATACACGACGTTTATGTGTGCGTTTGTGCACAGAATCTGAAATTGTTATTTATTCTGTTGCCAGAGTGAAGCTTGTTTAACCACTAGAAGGTCAATTAAAGGCTTAATACCTTGCAGATTTAGATTGCATGGTTGCTGTCAAACTGTTGGCGTTTGATAAGAGTGTGTAGAACTGAAATTACTGTTGATGATTTTTAAGACTAGAGATGCTCTAGGTGTAATTTATAGACATCCTTTCCGTGGCAGGTCAATTTGTTATGGCTGGCTTCCTCGACTTACGTGTGAAGAAGTGGATCCGAGTTCTAGTTACACGAGCTGTCGCCATTGTACCCACTGTTATTGTAGCTCTCTCCTTTGATAGTTCAGAGAACGAACTGGATAATCTGAGCGAATGGCTAAATGTGCTGCAATCCATTCAGCTGCCATTTGCTCTCATCCCGTTACTGTGTCTAGTTTCTAACAAACGAGTTATGGGTGTTTTTGTCATCACCAATATTACCAAGGTACGCTGGGGTTTTTTTCAAATGTCTAAATATTTGTTACTAATTACAGCTGGTGCGTATCTGTGTTGAACATATTAGGTAATGGATGGTTATGGCCCGATATTTTATTTTGTCCCTGCATAAATTTTCTCTTCGTATAGTTCATGTTCTTAGCATCAAATTTTCAACGATTGCCACAATTGTGGTTTATGGTTTGATGGCTTGGATCGTCATTTTGTTTTTGGAATTTTACACCACTAGTGGTGACATATATGATTCCAGGTGATTGCTTGGACCATCGCATTGTTGGTGATGACAATCAACATGTACTTGTTGTTCGTATCCGTGTTCGGCAGCACTGTCGAGTCTACGGCGGCATCTGTAGTCTTAGGAGTGGCCACTGCTCTGTACATCGTCTTCGTGATTTACCTGGTTCTAGAACCTGCGCAAGCGAATGGTAATTGGGTTGGCATCAAGCGGGCGTTTGGTTTATCCAGGTCAGTCATCCTTCTCGTGCACTAGTCTTTGTCCCCAAGTTGGATCATCGAGCTGGAAATACACAAACTGATTCAAAGTCGTTGGTTAATGCAGGGAGGATGACGGTCTGAGACCACTAACGTCATCAAAGGATAGCGAGGTTACAAATCTAGCATCAAATGCTGAGACGTAATAGTCCAGAGAATTTAGTTCGAAGCACGAATGACTGGTCAAGTGTTCGATACTTGATTTTACTGGCCAAAGATGACAAATTGTGAAGTAGTTATGTTCTTCCTTGGTACTGTAGTTGACATAGTTTGCATAAGGCGCTCGTAGAAAGTGTTGATCCATCAAGATGTTCGTGAAACCATTTTCTCTACAGCTCTTACTTGAAGTAAACACTGCAAGATGAACTTCTGTGTCTTTGAGGAGTCTTCGCTGGTAATTCTTATTCTTCTGCCATCTAGCCATCTCTTCTACATGCAGACAGAATGTAAATCTTTAACCTGATGTTTTAGGTCATTTATATAATAACTAAACTGAAGACATTAACATAAAAGTTCAACCCATATGAAATCATAACTTAAATCTGAAACAAATCAATAATGGGTGGACTTTGTTCGATATCACATTAACTAAGATGAAGAGAATGTGGTGGAAAAATGAATGCAATTAGTGTGGAAATTCATCAAGTTATTTGGAAGAGATCTTTAGAAGTGACCTCGCGCATTGCCTCCAAAAAAGTACAGACAAAACGTGCATTAAAAAAAAACAAACACATTTTGTCTGTACAGTAAATTGTGTTTCATAGACCTTACCTTTAAAAAATTGAAGTATGTTAGATCTTTTCGATATGTCATATTAGATCAATTGTGACATGAATTCATTTTTTTTTTTTTAATTTTTTTTAAATTTTTTATTTCCCACTTACTTCGTTTTACAGTGTCATATCGATTCCCACAAACCTGTTAAGTTATTTATTTTGAAAATAATTCTGTGTATATATTTTGAGAAAAGTTATTTACGTTCGGTTATTGTGTTAAGTTTGTAAGTGCGTACGTTGAATGCAATATCAAATTTTCACATTCAAAAATTGTAATTTTTATTTAAAAAAAAAATTCATTTTGAACATGCATACAACCTTCAGTTCGTGCTAACAATTTCGCGTTCAAAATTGATATTGTTTTGATTGTGTTTTTGACTTATTTATTTTATGATTTTATAATTTAGTATGTCCGAGGAAACTCTAGGACAGTGCTTTGCAAAATGATTGATTTGAGTTGCATGTTTGTCAAACATATACTTCACTCTTTTCTGAGGAGAGTAAAAATGGAAAAGACACTATTTGTGAAAACATCGACTTTGTGCTAGATGCCAGTGAACAAAGCAAGCTTTTAATTGTACGTTAAACAGTGCCAAGATACACTCTGTGAATTGCACTTAAATAGTTCAGATAAAGTTCTCTACATTGAATACTACTACTCTATCCTACATGAACATTAAAATTGGTTTGCTCATTGAGATCCACAATGGTGTACATTGTCGTTACAAAATAAGAGTTACAGTGCAAGACAGCACAGTTTAACGAGGTGCAAAGCTGGGACCAGACGATCGCCGGAGCTGGTCCGTGTAGTTGCTGATGGAACTTAAGGGTGAGTGCTTAATCCGGGGATCGGAAAGCCTTTTCCTCACACTTGTGCATTTCACCTGTGCGTTTATACCGCGTTAGAAATCTCGGTGCATGATTACACCGTGCCAGCACAACTTGTTACAACACTACATGTTCTCAACCTGAATACTAATCTGGCACGAAAGAAACATGTGCAGCATGAAATGATGGTATAGTATACGGGATAGTAACCTTAGACTTTGAACTTGAGAGCTCTTGCTCTGTAGTTCGAAGGCGATGCTGAAGTAACTGAAGGGCATCCATGGCTTCCGATGAGGTCACATTTTCAGAACTCGACAGTCCAGCTACCTGTCAACCAAACACGATTCAAAACAACAAATAAGCAACGTCATTGTGGAGCGTAGACACCAAAATCATAAACTAAATATACCGCACTTGGAGATAATTATGTTGAACACTGTTCATACGGAGAAATTTGGGGACCAAAAATACTTGATAAACTAACGATTTCTACCATTGGAGTTGATGAATGCAAGGTTTGAGAGCCTCATACAAGCCCCTGGGCCTCAGGGCAGTGGTAATATGGAGGCAAAATGAAAGTCTTACGAGGAGGACAAACGTCTGCGAAAAAGACACGACGATCCTGGTTTACACTTCACATCAAACTAATTATTTACCTGCATGATGGCAGTGCATAGTAATGAGAGCTTTCCTTCTACTTGGACTCGACTATCCTCTGCTTCCTGAATCACACTCAGCCCATCCCCAAGTTTGTGTTATCAATAGCTTCAGGCTCATAGCGTAGAAATTTTCTTTGAAAAAGGAAAGTTAAAGTTTTCTTCCTGAAACCAAGGCTTGAAGACGAATCAACAAAGTATGCTATGATTTTGTCATGTACCTCAGCATACAGAAGCTCAGCTCGGCGCAGGTCATTGCTCAGCTTCTCATTAGCCAGTTTCAGAGCCTGGTTTTCTTCCTAAAGATATGAATGAGAAGATAAAGAGTTATCAGAAATTCAAGTCAAATTTCACAACTGGCAAAATTACGTCATTAGGGCTTCAAAGAGGGACAGTATTTACAATAGATAATTATAGATGATTAATGATTGGGCATGATTGTGCCAAGTATGTTTGTGGATGTCCAAGGAGTGCCTGTGCTGCAACGTACTGAGGGTATTCATTTTCTTGAGTCGATATCATAACTCAATCACCTATCAACAATTTGTCAGACACCTTACGACTATGTAATTCCTAATCAACAAACTCCCTGCTGATGTTGATATGTACCTTGATTTTAGCATGATGGTTAATTTGTTGATGGAAAGTCAGTTGACTAGTCGGGATTCTTCTGATCTGCATTTCAAGGTCTCTAATCTTTTCCTGATATTTGACTTTCTCAGCCTAAAACAGGAAACATAACAAAACTGGAATTAGTATGGAAGTTGGGTTAACCAGCAGTAACAATAGGTCCCATAACTGAAGCATGGTAAGACCTCCCGGGACTTGGCTGGCAAAATTATCGCCCATGAGTTCAAGGATATCAGGCAGAACATTACTCCTACAATTGTGATCGGAGGAAAATCTGCACCTCGATAATCGAGGATTTCGTCCATCAAAATTACAACATTCTATCAAGGCTCACTTAATAGCATTTATTAGGCAACCACAGACCATCTTTTTCAATTTCTTGGTTCAGGGCTTACTCTGAACTTTTTAATTTCATCAGTCAATACTTGCTCTCTTTGGCTTAAATTCTCAACAGGCGAAGGAGTGGCCTCCATCTCACACTTCCTGGTATTAATCTCCTCTATCCAGCTATAGACAAGAGGATAAAGGTTGGGGCGAAATTTTAGATATCTCCAAACATTTCAAAACATTTCGCAAGCAGATCGAGTTAACTGAAAAGTAAGAATAAATAACATGAAATTAAATTCACCTCTTTCTTTTTTCCCTGCAACTGTCGATCTGCAAACTTAAGCTGGACAGTTCTACTTCCTGTTTCACAGAAAGACGTGAGAGGTGAAACAAAAACTAGATAATTTTCTACAGCGAATGTGGTGGCTAACACAAAATAATCTGCCTCTGTAGTGCAATTGATAATCATGTTAATATGCTGGTAACACCTCTGAGGTCTTTCCCAATATGCTAGTCGAGAAATAACTAGCTCCCGTGAACCATTCCTGATTTCCATAATATGACGTCATCTTACCAGACTGAATGCTTGCAAAACAGCACAATTGCTCCACAAAATTTTCAAAAATTGAGTATGTTTTAGCCCTAAAATTCTAATTGAGAGGCGTACCGTTCCTTCAAACTTTTCGTTTTTTGGCCGCGCGGTCTCTGCCAACTGCTGGATCTGCTGATGACCCGACATGGACTGCAAAGCCTTACATAATTTATTAGCTGAATCTGACATTTAGAACTAGAATAAAACCTCCTATAACAGAGATTTTAACGGCATTGAGAATCTTCTAAATGCAGCCAAAAGTGTACCGTAATGTTGTGCATGTCAGTTTTAACACCAAGCAGATCTCGAAGCGCATCATGAGTCATGCTCTCTGCCTCAGCCAATCTTGAATACAGCACAGATATCTACATATGGATAACACTTCAGATTACTATATGTCTACCAAGCAGACAACATTGCATGAAAGCGTCACTAAACTAATATTGGGTCTATGATTCGCTAAAAATTGGAATAATCATAACGAGATTTCTTGAATGTGCAAAAATTGGTAGTGAAGAGCTAGAATAGTCGAGTTTCTAAAATTCTGTTGTAAGGTATTTCAATTGTCACGTGAATATAAATGCCAACGAAATGCAAAAACAAGCCATTTGAAAGTGACAGATTTAAACCACCTCTTGCAGGCGAGTTGATGCAAGGTCTTCAAGCTCCTTTATACGACAGTGGCATGAGGCATGTGCTGCATCACTATGTGGAAAATCGACTTCTGTTGATTTTGCGCCGAAAGACATAGATTCTTCTGTTACTTCTTTTGAGTTTGATATTGTGCAACCAGGTTGGGCTTCTGAAAATCCTATTTTTGATTGCTCTACTGCTGTATCCACCCGCTTCAGCTGCTAATTAAAATTACGTAACAATTTTTTTCAGAAAACTTATAGGTTAATCCATAGTTTTCAATTAACGTAATTTATATTTTCTCATGTTAATAGAGAAGTGAAATGAAAACACGAGAATACTACCTGCTGCTGGAATTCGGTTTTCTGTGCTTCAACAGCAAGCAGGAGGTCAGATATCTGTGCTATGACATCATTTATCTGCATGCAAACTGCATGTCAGGTCTATATCGTTTTTTCATTCTATACACAGATTACATTCGAGATTCCTAGGAGTTTAACAAAATTAGTTTAGAACAACAGCTTTGAGATGATGATCCTCATCTATAAAGAAGACGTTAAAACGTGCTCTTGCAGAATTTGCAATAGAACCGCAAACCTTAGCACTTCTCATTATCACATCATGTGGATTCATATTATACCTGAACGTCTTTGCCTTTAGAAGCAGTGTCGATCTTCGCCAATTTTCTTTGCAAAAGTGTTATATCTGACTCTTTCTCCTCTACTTTCCTGTGAAAAGCAAGATGCCATATGTAAGTGTAAAATTCGTACACGTTTTGCAACTTTAGACAGCGAGAGACTAAGTTGTTTCCAGCACCTCTCCGTATTTCTTAAAGTAGAAAGAGCATGCTCCAACTCATCAGCGTTTCGTGAGTTTGTTTCTTCAAGAGCGGATTCCATCACCAAAATTCGATCTTTTAACCGCTGTAACTCCATTTCCACAACTTCTCTCAGCAGTCGCTGCTTTTCTGCCTCTTTCTTCAGCAAGTCCAACTGGAAAACAGTCTGAATAAAATGAGATAGAGATACAAAATTTTGGTGAAGCCAATTACTGTCTTTTTGTTTTATTTCAGTTTTTAATATTTCAAGGAAATGCCAAACTGGAGATGATACTCAAATAAATAACTGATCAGATTAAAAAATAAATGAGTGCACAAATAATTATAATTGACACTATTGTTACGAAAAGAATACTCCCTACTCACTTGACTTTCAAGGGCGTTAACTGTGCTCTCCAACTCTTCGACTGAAGTCGTTAGAAGATCAGCTTCATCTTCTTTCTTCCTGGCTTGAGATTTAACCTGTTCTGCAGTCTGCACAAAATGGGAATGCTTTGTACTACAGGTTCAGAATCTATGGACCAGTATTTAGAACGTGGTGCAGGTCATTCGTAATAATATCGGAGAACTGTCTGTAGAGACTGGGGGATGAAGACGACGAGAAGTTCTGACAATTTCAACCTGGAGATGAAAATGTTTTTTTAATCTACCTGTAACAATTCAGAGATAAATGCATTTCGCTCCTCCACCAACACCTGCGTCATCTCCAGCTGCTCAGTCAACTCAAGAACTTCCATCTGAAGTCGGTCCCTCTCCATTTCAACATCCTTCAGATCTAGAGTGGCCTCTTCATGCGTGTTTGATATGTTCTGGTCCATCATGCGCAACTCATCTTCTAGGCTTTCAATAATTTGCCGTTTCTTGTCCATCTCTGTCTCCAGATCATTTGCCTTGCATTTCCAGGTCGTGGCCTGGTTTCTGAGTTGTACAATCTCCTCAGTAAGTTGACCAACTTCCATCTCCAATCGCGTCCGCCTTTCTTTCTGCAAGTTCATTTCATGTTGCAGATTATCTGTTTCAACTCGACATGAATCAAGCTCTTGCTTAAGGTGGAGCTCTTGAAGTGCAGACTCTTGTAGCAAATTGAGCTCAGATTCTAGACATTGTAGTAAGTTATTTTTCTGATGTAGTTCTCTCTCAAGTGCCTCAATTCCCAGTTGAGTCTCCACCTGCATATGTTCTGCAACTGTAGCCCGCTGTTGGTTGGCGGCGACTTCAGCATTAAGGTGTTTCAAAGTAGTTTTCAACTCTCTTATCTCGTTCTCGAGGGAGTCGAGTACTTCTTGCTGAATGCAATGTCTTGCGAAATGTTCTTCCATTTCATTCTCTCTCGTCTCGAGCTTTTCTTGATATTCAGCTACTGTAGCAGATCCTCTTGCTATTGCTGTAATCAATTCCTGCCTTACGCACTCCATCTCAGCCATGCGTTGCTGACATCCCTGCAGTTCCTTATACATCAATTCAACTTGCTCCTTGCATTCTTCCTGAGTTGCAAGAAGTTTCCCTCGAAGAATTTCTAATTCAGATTCTTTCTCATCAAGTTGTACCTCTGTGTCCTGGCATCTTTGTTCCCAATCCCATAAATCTGCTTCCATAACTGCCTCTTGGGTTTTGAGCCTTTTTAACTCATCTGAGAACACGTGATGCTCCTCATCTTTTCGTTCTTTCAGCTGGGCAAATGTGCCCCTTAATTTGTATAAAGAATTATTAGAACCTTTCAATTGTGCTTTTAGCTCTCCAATTTCTTGAGATTGGGAAAGGACCTCAGTAGAAAGCGTAGATTTGATCCTTTCAAGCTCCTCATTTTCCTGAAAGCAAGCATGAAGATGCAATAGAAATGGAGAAAACAATCTCATAATCTTCTTGGAGCATTGAAGAATCTCTGCGTACTGCAGTTGGCGTTGGCTCAGAAGTTTAAGAAGATACGTTGACATGGCATACCTCTCTCTCGGATCCTTAACTGCTTTCTCAACCATTTTTTTGAGAATATATAGTTCCATTCTCTGGTTAGATGCAGAGGTAGAGGCATCCAGCAGCTCGATTTGCAGCTTATGTATTTGCAACTTCAAATCATTGCACTTTCTTAACTTCGTTGATTCTTTATTGATAGTTTTGTTTCCAATTTTCGAGTCGTCTGCAATTTCAAGTCGTTCATCTCTCTTACATACAATGTTCGCTTGAGCCTGCACGGTCGTTTCCAATGAAGTATGGATTTCCAGAGAATTTTCACTTCTTTCCGCAGGTTCTTCATAAATTGTAGATGTCATTTTCTTCTTATCCTCCAGTTGCCTTGAGACACTTTCCAAGATGATTTTGAAGTTTTCGAGCTGTGTCTCATATGTAGTACATGCAGCGCAGGCTTCCTGCAACTGCCTGTGAAGCTGTCTACTTTGAGTCTCCAGCCTCTCTGGAAGGTACTTGTGATCATCAGTTGCGGTGCAAGTCTTTTCCAAAAAACATTCTTCAGCGTATCTCAGCAGAGAAACATTATCCTGTAAAAAAGCTTGCGTTGTTGATATTTGGACGAAATTCTCTACCTGCAAGTGAATCATATCAGCTATCACGATCTCTTTATCACAAAGTACAGCAGCAGTACTTTCTACTATGGTAGTCAGGATTTCTATGGCTGCACTTAGCCTCAACTTTCACAAGCTTATCCGATGTACTTTCCAAAACATGTCTTAGTAATACTGCGTCAGTGATAAGGTGTACCTCTTTCCTTCCTATTTCTTTGAATTGCGCTTCCATATGATGCGTTGCATCTTTTACATCCAATTGCGAAACTCTCAGCAAGTATCTGGTACTGTCAAGGGTACTTTGTGAAGTCTGATTTCCAACCACCCTTTTCTGGAACCTCTGCTCCGCATTCACTGCCTTCACATTCATCTTATCTAACTGCATGCGGGCTTTCTCTACAGCATTTTCTATCTTTAAATTTTTTAATTTGGTAAATTCTTTAAATTCACGATTGAAACCAGCTGCAGTCTTTACACAACTGTTCCCAAGAAGCAATTTTTCTTCATGAATCTCCAAATCCAAGAATTGAATACGTGTCTCGACATGATACATGGTAACAGCCACTTCCTCTTCAACCACACTAGGCATCATTCTGCTCTGAAGCGTCATGACATCCTCCCTCGACTTTCCTCTGTATAAATTGTGGATGACGCTTACATTTGCTTGACCTATTGTAAGAACATGAAGTTCTGCCTCCTTCAAAGTGAGACGTGCTTCCGAAAACCATCTCCTTATGATTGTCACTTGACTGCCGTTTCCAGTGGCGCAAAGTTTTGCTGCTTCCATCTCCGAATCTGTCTCTACTATTCGCTTCAGCCGTTCACGTTCTGATTCGTCAAGTTTCTCTTCGGATTTTGTGAGTAACTCCATAACGTTGTAAAACCCAGTTTCATAATGCTCCTTTGGCGACTTTCGGCATCGAACCTCATCTTGAGAGTTTTCTTGTGCTCTGTTAAAGTTAATTAGCTCGAGCTTTAGAGCACTCCTACCAGGATCTGAGCATTCCAACTCGACTTCCATCTGCCTGCAGACTGCAATGTTTGCATTCATTTCTATTTGCAATGATAAAATAGTGCTGTCCTCATCATTTATCTGTGTCTGTAGTATTTCGCACTCGCATAGTATTCTTTCAACCTCCCTCTTAAGTACGTCAAGGTAATGATGCAATAGCTCAGTCTCTGAAGTAAAGCTTCTGGCTCTGTGAAGTTCAAATGCATATTGTTCCATATCAGAAAGCTCGAACCGAATTGCCTCCTGGTTCTTTAGTAGTTGGTTATTGACGGCTTTTAAAAGTATAATTTTCTGTAGTAGCTGCCCGGTAGCTGTGTCTGAAGCAGACAGTGAAGACTCTGCCGCTACTAAATCCCACTGTATTTTTTGTGAGAAAATTTTCATTTCCGTCCGATCCAGAAAAGTTCTGAAGAGATGGTTTAACAGTTCTCCTGTCTTCATATTCCATTGGATCTCTAGATCCTTTATTGTCATTTCAAACTTCTTTTCAATTTCCATCACCTGCTTCTTCAAAATTTTCAAGATACAGTGAAAGCCTTGCTTTGGTTCTTGACAATCAACTAGCTCTAGTTTAGTTATAAGATGGTCTTCCAACAGTTCCTTTTGCAGTTTTTTCTTCATAATATCCTTCTGTTCCTGCAGGGATAAAAATTTCATCTCCTGACAAACCATGTAGCTAGTCAGACTGTTATTCTCATCAGCAAGAGCTTCCTTCTGAAATTTCGATTCCTCTACTGATCGGGTAAGCTCTTTTGTTAACGAGATCGAAGTACATAGTTTCTCTTGAAGTGGAACAGCCGTACTTTCCGATTCAGTCCATTTTTGACGGAACATGGATATCTCTTCTTCCTTTTGCTTGATTAAGGTCACTAATGCATCCAAATCATCCTTCAGCGCTTGGATGCGTAAACATAATGCCACAGTACTCAATTTCTCCGCTAACATACTCTCGCGTTCAGCTTCCACGACCTCAATCGGATCCCTATCCTCCTGAGCTTTTGCAAGATTTTTCTCAAGACTTGAGCAGCACTGCAAGATCCTGTGCTCGATGCATTCAATCCTAGCTTCCAGCTTTTCTTTCACAAGGTAAAGTGCATCTAAATACAAAAGTATTTCTTTCATCCGGCGGTGTATATCTTCCACCTTGTTTTCAAAACTGTGTAACTTCAGTTCCAAGACGTTTTCTTGCCGGAATGTCTCTTGGCCCTTCTGCTCCACAACAAGAATTAACTCCTCTAATGTAAATCTCAACCTCTGATTTTCGCTCTGGATTTTCTCCTTCGACTGCAGTAACTCTTTCAGCTCACAAGAAAGCTTGGTTTCGCGAGAACAAGAATCATTCAACTGAAACTGCGCTGTGGCAAGCCTCAACTGAATTGCTGTTAGTGCTTCATCCTTCCTCAAGCATTGTTCTTGCGCAGCCACTTTTTCAACTAACAACGCTTCTTTCTCCATTTCGCAGTCCCTCAAGTGCTTTTGAAGACGTAAATCTAGATCTGACATGAATTCCTGGTGTAACTCAAACTGCGAACATTGGACCAAATTTGAACGTGAGTAGCAAAACCTCCCCAAAAATCCGTAACAGAGTACGGTTAGAATTTCTGTTGGTTTTACATGTCAAACAAAATACATTCAAGAATCCCTTTAATCAAAATGATGAAGGAAAAGTTCCAAACCTGATGCTTGTAAAATTCCGCAGAAGTATGCGTTCTATTCAACTCTTGCTGTAAAAATGATACAACTTTTTCCCTCTCTTCTCGTAAAACAATAGTTTGGATTTGGACTTCTTCAAGTTTTGCCTCAAATTTTTGTGCCACATTATGTGCAAGCTCAAGCTCCTCTTCAATCTGTGTGCACCTCTGTTTGGCCTCCATTGAGACCTCCTCTAACCGTTCTTTATCAACCTCCCATTTTTCTTGTACAATGAACATGTCAGCTTGCAAAATGGCCATCGCCACCACCTTAGCTTCTGCTTCCTGAACTTGAAAAAACATTCTCTCCAGAGAGTTAAAATGTTCCGCAATTTCATTTAACTTTATCTGAAGCTTTTCCTTCGCTAAGGCCAGGTGCAAATTGCGATCCTCACTTGTCATTAAATCGTCTTGCAGCGTCAAAACACTTTTCTGCAAGACATCTAAAAGAGAATCTTTCGTTTCCATTTCCTTCCTTGCATTCTCGATTTCTTGCACATGTTTAATATTCTGATTGCTGAGAATTTCCTTTGTTTCCATGAGCTCTTTCAAAATCAAATTTAACTCGACGATTTCATTCTGTAAGTTCATGACCATTATGTTTCGCTCGTTAACTTGGGAAATAACATCATCATATTTGAGCTTCTGAAATCCCTTATCTGCTGCTATCTTATTTTGGAGCCACCAAAGAATAATTGAAGTCACTTTGGATGACCTTTCAAAGAATTCTCTATCAATGGCAAGAATCACCGCAAGTTGCTCTTTTTCCATGGCCAACTTCTCTCTCTTTCTATCGCAACCAACCAATTCTCCTTGAAACTTGGTCAAAACATCCCGCATCTGCGCTAATTCAATGTCGGTATCCTCAATCTTTTTCAAAGCAGTAGCAAATTTCTGCCGATAATTCTCAATGTCTTCACGCAATTTAGCTTGAACAGAAACTGCAGCCACTGCCTGGGCTTCTGCTTCCTGCAGGCGAGCCTGATCCCTGTCAATCTCATGTTGCAGCTCTGAAACCAGTGAGCTATTTTCCAACATGTTGACTGTAGCACTTTCAAGATTTCTCTGTAAGCTTGAAATTAAGGAATCTTTGTTCTGCAGCTCCTCATTAGCAATTTCAATTTGCAGTCTCAGCTTGTTGTTTGCAGTACATTCAAATGCTAGAGTATCTGAATACCATGGCAACATGATAAAGCAAATGGAAAAATCTCTCTTAATGCAGTTACAACTATTGATGCGACCAGTCTGTTTTGCTATTCCTGTATGATTTTTTCCTGCAGGGCAGTATGACGTATTGGATTGTTGCATATTGATGCGTTCCTGTTCTCCTACTCTGTCAGAAGCAGTCGATTGTTTTAAGGGGACATCGTTTATTCCTTCTATCTCACAGAAAACTTCGGTAAGGGCAGATTCTACCACTTCATCTACCAATTGCACAGCCACAAGGTTATTTTTTCGCGTTCCCACCCCTATCCTCGAGGGAGACCCATCATTTAATTCGGCGTCATTGTCAACCTTTAACGCAGATTCATTTTGGATGATGTTTTTCTGTGTGCAACCGCTTTCAGACGAAAGATCTAGTGGCTTCAGGTCTTGCAACAGCTCAGTGATGACTAAAGCATTGTTCCTGCATGGAACTTCTACAGCTTGCTCATCATCAGTTAGCGATGCCGGGGCATAGGCTTTTGCGGACAGTTTCTCTATCAATGAATGTGCTTCACTTTGCTCCCTCCTCAAGCCAGATTCCTACAACACAAACCAATATTCACTATTTTATGTCGGTTTGATTCTCAAAAGACTTGCAATGAAGGATGGTGTTAAATATCCATAACCTCAGCATTGCGGGTTATTTAGACGCTTTTGGTTTCCCACGTTCAGAACAAAACCATCAGATAGTTTGAATATCATCATGGGCATGACTATATTCATGAGATTCTCTACACTACTATTTCGTAATTATGTCGATGCAGCAATCTATATAGTTATTTGCAAGTTCAAACATGTAGATACTAATTACCTTCAAGCGTGCTGCAACGGCTGCTTCAAAATGTTTGAAGGACAGGCGCTGATAGTCCATCTCCCTCGCTCCCAAGTGTATTTTCCTAATGGCGTCCTGTCCCAACGCAGCCATTTCCTGCACGGTATGTCGCAATTTTGAAACCTCTGCTAATAAAATTAGATGTTTGCGCTGCGAATATGACTTGATGACTAGGTATGATTAAATCTGTTTAAACCCCAATACCTTGACAATTGAAGGGCATGATTCAACATGTTGCAATTGATTCACAAGCGTCTCCGCTGCGTTCAGTACTCCCCTGGTTTCCTGAAGATGAATAAACCATACTTTCAGGACGACAATTGTCATCACTAGATTCCAAGCATTGTTGCATGACTGAGAGCTGACTCATTTTATTTTCAAAGGTTTTAGAAATTATATGATAACCTATCAATGGGAGAAATCTGTCTCAATATCAACTAGTACCTGAACCTCTGTTTGGAAATCAGCTGATTTCCGTAAAGACACGTTGAGCTGCTCATCGAGATCAGACCGCAAGCTGGGATCATGTGTCGATCCATCCTCGCTCTATAAGTGAAGGCATGAACGAAATCAAGATTGTCCTCTTATCATGTCAAACTCAGAAAACTCCATTTCTTCTGGAAGCACGTGACAAGTCATTGTTCAAAGAATTTACCTGCTGCGATTTAGTCTTAGGATTTGATACGAGCTCTACATGCTGGGCATGTACCTGTTCACATGATTCAACATTCAGTACCTGCTCCTGCAAAATAATGTGACAGCAGAATTATGAAGTTCGATGAAGTTCTTTTAATAGCTAAACCACAATATTCAGTCAAAACATTCAAGATGAAGAAAGTGAAAAAAATTACGTCCTTACCCGAAGCTTTTGGAGCTCCTCTTGATAAATTTGAATCTCCAACTTCGCTTCTCGAAGCTCAGCGCTTGATTCATCCAGTGCCCTAACAAAAGAATCTGATCAGGCGTCTTGTTTAATATTTTCTAGCACATGGTCAAAAACACTTGCTAGAGCAATCAAGTTAAATATTCCTCAACTTTCTTAATGACCACAACTTGACATATCATAACGACAACCAATAATTATCAAGTTATGCCCATCTCGTTCATAGTTTCAAGCAAGTTCGTCCTCCTACTAATGTCGACGTCAACTTTAAGAATCAGATGCACTGATTAAATTTTCCTTCCGAAAAATTCGAGTAAAAGACTTCATACTCCGTCAAACTTGAGTTTGCTTCCAAACTTATGCTCAGGTTTTTCCGGCAATCATCAACCTCCCTTCGATAGTTGTCAGCCTGTATATGTAAGAAATGCCACAGCTTACACGAGGGGACATGGCATACAGTTGCTTTATATGAGTTCGTGATTGTAGGTCCAGGTCATCACAACTCCAAAAACGATTATTACGAGCGATCATGAAACATGTTACGAAGACAAACAGTTCAAGATTTCAATGTCAAACTTCTATGATAATAAGCCTAAAATGTTGGTTTGAGTGACTTGGTAATAGATGACGAATCATCGTAGAAGGATATGCATGAGAACACGCAATGAAAAAAGCAGTTACATACTTCAATTCGCAGTAGCTCGATTTCCCGCTTGGCAGCAGCAAGCTCAGGTGCCAATGCTTCTCTCTGCCTCAACGACCAATCACGTCATAATCATCCCGAAGTGGTCCCCTTCATGATATGGTTACTTTTACGAGATACGTATAACTGAACGACAGAGGAGACGATACGTTCTAGGATGTGAATTACCTGAGGCGAAGTAAGAGCTGTAAGTGATAACTTGCTGTCCAGAACTTCAAGCAGCTGCAACACATAAATGAGCATGTAATTTAAGTGAACTTCACTTCTGAGATATATAACCGTCTGTGTTTGCATGATCAAAGAGCAACTTCAAACATCCAACACTACTACCTCAAACTATTTTTCAACATCCACTCAAAAGAATTCCTGAACCTGATCTCTCAAGTTGGAGATTTCATCAGCCATGGCCTCCCTCTCTCCACCTGCGTAAAAGTCCTGAAACCTGCATTGGGAGTATCAACTTGTAGAATCCATACTCCAATCTTTAATAGTCTACTATTTTCCTTGAGGCTACACCGATCAGAACTCAGATAGTTTTTCAATGGTGATATTTATAAAAAATGAACCGGCCGCAACTAAGAAGTATTGTATGACCAGAACGACAGTAACCTGCGAAGTTGCTCCAGTAGCCGAATATTTTCGATAGCAAAGCGCGTGAGCTCCGGGTTACGATCAAATTTTGCTTGTACAAGCTGCAACTCGTTCATAAGACATTCCTTCTCTTGCCTAAGGTACATGTCAGCTGGTGTAATGCTTGCTGAGAGAGCTTCAAGTCTTTTTATCTTATCCTCTCGAAATCGTAATAACATTTTGCTGCATTGACTATCATCTTCCCGTTGTTTCACCTGTACACCACAGTCCCCTCTCAGATGAATTAAACAGGGTCGAGTATTATTTCTCAATAGGTAACATTCATCATTATTTCATTTCCTTCCACAAAATGTTACAGCTGAAGAATGTTCAGACTCACCAGGCGGTTCAGCTGTTCAATCTCGGATGCTTGTCTCTTTTGAGTTAACTCTGCCTCCTGCTCTCTTCTGAGAGCTCCTGCCAGCACTGCCTCCATAGATTCTAGCTATCCTCAACGAAACCATCCCCCAAGCCAGACGTGACAAATAACACGATGAGTTCAACGATTTTTCACAGAAGAACCAGATGATGTGTAAATTGAAGAAGTGTTCTGGATTCTTTTGATTTCATTGAAATCTTCAAGTATGACAATTTCGCCAAACCTTTTTAAGTCGAAATCGTGAACCAGAAAAGGACTTGCTGAATTCCCACGAATCCAAGGAACATCGAGATTGCTCATGTTCATCAAGTGTAACTACTGCCAATCTCAGATTGTGGTCTCCTTTCTGCATGCCATCTTGGTCAGCTGATGTTACTGAGGGCATAGATGGCGCTCTTGGCAAGCATTGCCTTTTCATGCGGTCCAACTCTTCCTAAAATCGAATACAGCGTGTCAATTTCGACCACTGAAGATAAAAGAAATATACATAGCAACAAATACACACGCTTTCTATTATCAAGTCACTGAAAATCTCAACGTGTTTAGAACAATAGTGCTTCTTCAATAAAATATCGTATGGATGCGACTCCAATCTATCAACCTTCAGTTCTTGTATTTCTTGATGAAGCCCAATCAAATCTCCGGAGGCATCTTCATTCACAATGGCCTGGTCAAGTATAAAAGCACCAGGTTGGTCATAGTCCAGATTCATGGTTGATCATCAAATGCAGCTTTTAATCAATTAAAATCACCAACTGAAAATTCGGTTGTGAATGCATACGTTATTTCGGATGAATTTCGCACGTTGAGCAAACTTCAATGTACTCAGAGTTTCAAGAGCACAGCTGCGAGAACGCACAAACCCATGAGCATTTTGGAGGCTGAAAAGGATGTACTAGCAAATTTTCTTCACCATGTAGCGCTGTACCAGTATCAAAATAATAACTCAATCAATGCTAATAATAATAATACTAATAATTGAAAGAAAGAAAGAAAGAAAGAAAGAAGGAAAATAAAAATGAAGAAATAAATAATATTAAAAAAAAAGAAAAGGTAAGAAAAAAAATGGAAGAGAAGTAGACAAATAGATCAACTATAAATTAATATTTTATTTAAAAAGGGGGAAAGACGAAAGAAAAACATAACAAGGATCTGAGAGTTTAATACCAGCTAGAAGGACTGATATTTGCTATCATGATAGTCTTGGAATTCCCACCCAAGGAATCCTGAATCGAGGGTGGTCAGAGTGATTAGTCACTGCATGCACTGATTAGTACAATCACTATGCACCACTGAACTACACATATTTAAGAGAATACTATTCACCTAATTATAATGTAAGAGTAGTTGTCTACCGAACCTGCAATAAGTATGTGAGTCTTGAATCGCGATAAGGCACATGACGCTGTTTCCCACCAGCCACATCGACGAGTATCATGATGACGAGTCTGTACGGCAACCAGCATTGAATTCCAGAAGTGTTGACCATCATTAATGACTTTCTTGCATAGGTTTGGTCACAATGCTGGCAAGGGAAGAAACATGAGTGATCATCAAAAAGTAACGTACCCAAGGGTGGAGAGTGACTTGTTTATGTTAGAGGCCTCCTTCAATCGATCTCCTTCAGCACCTGAGTATTTCTGTCTGTATTATCAACAGTGTTAATATGCCTTTCAACTAAACACTTTGAAGGTCACTTTTCTGCTGAAAATGTCAGAAATTTCCTAACCTCTCAGATCCTGCAAGATCAACGAGATTCAATCGGCCAAACCGAGAGTTTGTCATTGAGTTTAATTCCCACTGCAAAATATGAGAAAAAAATGGGTCACAAGCATCAGTTCATCGTCATCCGATACTACTTACAACAAAATTGCAAAAAAGAAATATTTACGCGAAAGAGAAAGTTTAAGTGATCCTAAGATTTACTCTGCTTTCAATGGTGCAGATTAACACACTGTGTGAGCGACTGCTCTCACGGTTCATAGTTGTGGCAGCCACTTTCCTGTTGGCAGATCCCTGCGTAATTCAATTAACACGTTGCAAATTGTATCCTTAGTTCTCTTTCACACAATAGTTCGATTTTGAACAAAGTTAAGATCGTCTACAAGCATTGAATTAGCCCTCTACAAGTCTTACCAATAGGAGGAGCTGAACAACGTCTTGGTCACTTCCCACCTCAATCTCCAATAGGTTTTCTACGTACACTCCTTTCTTGCCACCTTCTCGCAACTGCAGCCCAAGTGCGACATTCCCAAGGGCCATAATGTAAGATCTCAGCATGATAGACGAGCAAACTAGGGTAATTGAAGAGTTGTAGATTAAATTTACGGACCCAGAAATTTTAGCATACATCTTCATTGTAAGCGCATCTTATTACATACCTGCAAATTCGTAGAGGTTGGCTCCAATAGATCTATTATCTGCTCATTATATATCTCTAGAAAGGAGCACTTGCAGACATATTTCATGTGCTCATTGGTTCGAGCTTCTTCTTCCTGCCAATGCAACCACGAAACATTTCCGCAACACTAAATACTCCCATTTCCGCTTTCCAAGGTCTTGACTTAGAAGTAACAGAAAAGATGCAAGCTCGCAGATTCAAAAGAGATAGCTAGCAAGGACTTCTCTCCTCACCCTCTTTATCCGGGAAAATAGATACTCAAACACCCGTGGTGTTATGCCTCGGCTTTCGCTGGGTTGGTTTTCAAGGTCCTCGATGTCTCCTAGCATTGTATGAGTTTTACCACTTCCTGTCTGAACACGTGATCACAGCTCAACTGACAAGTGCCACAAATCTTGAACCTCGCTAGCATATCTTAAGGAACTTCACGTTTAATAAAAACTGACATCGTTCTAGGTAAGAACTACACATCACAGGATTCAATAACCATTGAGAATTCGTTTTGGATGCCATCCGAGGTGAACCGGATACAAAAAGAAATCAACCAATCATACTTTAAGTGTACAAATGGTACTGTTTAGATGCATCATGTTTAAAAAAGATAGTTTAAATCTTACCTGACCATAACAGAACATACAGCTGTTGTAGCCAGCCATACAGTTTTCGACCATAGGCACACCTGACACCTTAAAAAGTTTCTCCTACAATGTGAAAAGCAAAAAATTCTCAATCGAATATCACTGCTGAAAACTTACAGACGAAACTAGGCAGTACAATCGCTAACAAAGTCACAGCAAGTAAACTGATGCAAACCTGTGAGATGTGTTCCCCAGCAACATGATCGAAAGTAAACCTCGCCTCTGGTGGACCAATCCAGGTGATGCTACGGGAGTTCTCTTGACGAACACATGTGCTGAAGCCTTTCAACGCGGATTCAGATGCGCTGATGGGTCGAGTGCGAATTATTACCTAAGACATTTCCATCATCAGCTCAATATCTTATCCCTTTCAACATTCTTTATCCACTATACGATTCTGCATCAAGGAGCTGCGGGGACTAGAATGCAGTGGGACCAAAGTTCATTGTAAAATTCATGGAAGTAGTCAGCGAGAGCCTAATAAGAAATGCCATATGCAAGGAGCACGCGATAGCTAGCAGAACAATCCTGGTGTAAATGCCAGAAAACGTAAGAGTCCAGTTAAAAAGGATTGATCACGTCGATAGAAATATGCAGACGTTTACCAAATCCACCATAGTATCCTAACTGCCATTTTTAAGCCGAGCTCAATAAAAGTGGAAATCCTTTCGGTCTCAAGCAACTTGATTCTGTACAATGTGTTCCATGACCAGAAGCAATTTATAAGCCGAACTTTAGGGTATTAGACTGATTGGTTATCAAGTCTCTGCCTGTGTGCTAATACATGTCCGAAACGGCGATAATCGAAAGGTAAACTTATCACCATGCATTAGGTCCAATCTGAGATTCCGAATCACGTGAGGGAACCTGTCTTGATGCCCTAACTGGCGAGGAAATTGGAACTTGTTAACAAAATATTAATGAGAAGTTAACAGCTCGGATGCCTCTTTTATTCACGATCCATCTCACAACGAAGAATGTTCATCAAAAACCTCATAATTGAACATGAATGCAACAGCATAGTCCAGTATCGATTAGCCACCTGAACATTATGATCCTCCCAGAACGTGGGATCATCCTCGACATCAAATTGCTGTTCCAAAGTCTGCCTGCTCATGTAAAATTGCATAGATCCTGACGATCTCCCACTTTCAGTCGCCCGTGTGCTCCCTACACTGGCTGCGCTGTCAGGAGTAGCGCCATACCTAAGTAATCTACTTACTCTGCGGCTGGGAGTAGACTGGAGGAGGGACAAGTTGGTCGAGCTGACCCAACTCTTCGAAGTCTCGGAATCTACAGGAGGCTTGTTCGTGAATCTCGACGTTCGAGGGGTTTGCTCACTGGACCCTGCCTTGCTAGCTCCAGTGTTCGAAATTGCAGGTATTTGATTACTCGTTGCAGGAGTGCTCCCTGCATTAACAGGCATGTTCCAGCTCTTGCTTGCAGACTCAGTCGATCGCGAACTCTCTTGCAGTGAGCGAGCTATGGAAGCCGTGACTGGCAGTTTAGAGGGCCAGGGCGAAGAAATCCTGGTGGCTGACCTAGTCAGAGTCGTCCGTTTTTCGCGAGACTTTTCTGGGGACTTGTTGGACGCGGAGTTAATGTTAAATTCGATATTCTCATGCTGCCTGTAGACTGCAGCTCCCCGTTTCTTGCCTATTGTTGTTAGAGCTCTGAATGGTGAATCTGGCTCCGTCTGCTCCAACATTGAGCAGGAATTTTGGGATGATTCTGGAATAGGATGGAGCGGCTGTCTTCCAAGATACAATGGCAGATTTGTGCCAATTTCCTGTTTCTTGAGTGAATCCTGCAATTGATGGCGGCGCGAGAATGTCGATCTTAATGTCATTCCTCTGAGATTTTCTTGCTCCTGTTATAGGCTGAATAATTTATAGTCACACTACCTCTCTGCTTGCTATTGTTGCAACCTTCAATTGCTTTACTTCTACAAGCTCATAATGCGACCAAATGACCTTCTAAGCTTCTTAAATTCGCATTGCAACATCTGATACAGAGAATGCGACTTATGTAAAAACTTCGAAAACAAACTCTACCTCAATTATTAAACCTCGACTGGCTACTTTTCTAGAGATGTCCGTAGTAGAAAAAAAATGGTTATCCTCAACCTAACACCTGAGAAACAATCAAAAACTATTTAAATCGCCTGGCGAGGAGATAGTTTTATTCCGTCTTCGCCGTAGTCTCTTTGACTAACATAAAGCCCGCAAGTAGCTGTCACTCCGCTCTCCTTAGCATTCAAATGCGTATGAGACCAACTCTCTTCGGGGATAAGGATCGACAAGACGTATGTTAACTCTCAGCCACAGTCTCCATGGTTCTTCAATTCGAAAACTACAGCGAAAATGACGGTCAATAAAAAGGAGACGAGATTGCAACTATTCAGTAAATAGCAGTCACCTCAGAATAGACCAGACTAACGACCAATATTATTCTAAAGAACAACTATGTTTTCGCTCTGGTAAGCCATAGATCAAGTTGTCTCCCACACAGCTCGTGGAATCCTTTTCGCATCAGACATAATTACGCTCCATTATCCCGACGCCCGCAAAGAAATTATATAATTTCACAGTTCAAACTCAACGACACTTCTCTCATTAATACCCCAAGATTCGAACGGAAAAACGCACATAACCATTCTACACAAAGTACATAAGTACACAACGCCGCTGAAAACTTCCTCCCTAGGACAGGATTCATGGCAATACTAAACACATTGGCTTCAATCCGTATCCCTCAACACAGGTTGTTCAAAATTCTCCCACTCATTATGCCAGTGCTTAGACTTGGAACCTTCAACGATTATCAAATTACGAAGGACAATCCTCCGCCAAAGCTGTTGTCAAATTACGAATCAAAGTCGAATTCTCGGCATCTCTTGGATGTCTCCCTCTCTCATCCGGATCCTTCCATGACCACCGGCTCGGTCTCAAAACACAATTTACAATGCGATGAGATACATTTACACGCGCATTAACTCCAAAACGTAACAAGAAATGGATAAGTCGGAAACTATGTGTGCATTTCACAATGTCGACAACACGGTAGCTGGAAACTGAAATCAAACTGAAGCCAGCTCCTTCGTCTCTCGATGTGAAAACAAGGCATGCGCTCCCCTTCACTAATCGACAGCGACTAACACATCGGGCACGACATCCTTTTAACATTAACAGACTGCCCTAAGATATTTGGGTTCCTGTTTTTGATAATGCAAACTAAATTCGTAGGATTTGGATGATAAATTCATACAATATGCTATCAAGCCAATTTTAATTATTTTATGGCATTTAATGAGATTTCTTTTTTGCTTTATATTTATATATTCTTAAAGTATTAGTGAAACAATATTTATTCTCAAATTTTTAGTAACAATATATCCAGATTTAATTTTAAATGTAATTTTTTTTAATAATAATACATAAATATTTTTTATATTACATCCAAAGAAAACTAATAATTTTCTCACAAAGAATCCAATTTAAAATAGATAATATAAACTTGCTTTTGACTAGATTTTTTAATTGTGATTTTGAGAGCAGTGTCAAAAAATAAACAACAACATATGATAGCAATTATTATAAACTATCATAATTAAGAAAATAAAATTTATAATAAAAAATATAATAAAATTATAAAATCATTAAAAAATTTATTTAGACAATAGTTTCAATCTAATTAAATCAATTGAATTATATTGATTTGTATTAAAATAAAATATTTTTCTAAAATTGCACAATTTTTTTTCATATATACTAAAATCATAGTAAGTTATTTACATAGTGTGTTTTTAGTATTTTATTTAATATCAATTAAGTATATTTTTAATATATAATATAAAGCAACATTAAAGTTGATGTAATTTTAAAAAAAATGATATAAGACAATTGTATTAGAGCAAAAAGTTTTAACTATCAAAAAATATTTATAAAATATGTAATTAAAGATTTAATTAATGCTTATTAAATTGATTATCAATATATTGCCATACTAGGAAGTGGTATAATATATAAAAATAATATAAAATATTATAAGAATTTGATTTCCAATAACAAAAAAAATTATAGATATAACTCAAAATAGGTTGGTATGAGCTAAAGATGAAGTGGTATGATATTGAAGTAAAGAAATATGGGCTGAGGTAGAATGACATAGGCTAATGTTGACTTTTAGACCACTTTCTCCTTTTCTTTTGTTTGGGCTTTCTTTCCTTAGGAATAACTAGCTATTCTTTAAGGTTTTTTTTAGAGGTTTTTTCAGAGTGCATTTCAAATTTGGATTTGAGATTTTGAGAAGTTGTTCTTGTCTTTACAAGCTTTGTAAAAAGCTCTTACTTACTCCAAGAGAAGTTAATATGAAGCTGTAGTACCTTTCTAAATAAAGAAAGAACCAACTACTTTTTAGGATTTTTTTTTGGAGATTTTCTCAGAATGTATTTTGAATTTGGATTTGAAATTTTGAGGAGTTGTTTCTTTCTTTATAAAATTTCCAAAAAGCTCTCACTTACTTCAAGAAGAATTGATATGAAGCTCTAGTACCATTTGTTTTGAAAAAAGAGTCATCTATCTTATATTAACTTGATCTATGGCTTTCTTTGCTTATAAAATATGTTATAGAGAATTTTAGGAAGTGATATTTGGTATATATATGTATAGATTGAGTAGCACTCTAAAAAGCCATTATATAATAAAATCTAATGAAGAATGGAACTATGGTGTTTATTTGAGTGAAAAGGGATATTAATTGCTACATACTATCAAAAGCTACTATGTACATATAAAATAGTGGAATTCATTTGAATGAAATACAATATTTGACCATATCTAATTGCAGCCAAAAATCCTATGTTTTTTAAAAATAATTTCTTTTATCTTGATATTTAGTACTTTTATTGAGAGAAGCTTTAAGGCATCAGGTTGGTTTAGGCAAGATAGATGATACAAAAAAAAGAGGTTCAAATAGAAGAGGTGGTCAGAACCTTAAAGAAGAATTGTTAAGGGCTATACAAATTTTTATGGCCAATAAGTTTTTAATGCAAATAAGCAAAGAGCCAATAAAGTATTGAGAGATGTTGGTGGCAAAGTAGAGAGATTTGATTTGAAGAATATCACTAAGTTTTTGAAGGTCTACACCTGTAAAATGGAAATCTATTAAGTTCAAAAAGATAGGATGATTAAGACCTTTGATTTAGAAATTGTTCAAAAATAAAAAAAAATGTGAGACAACTACATGAAAGTATTCATGTGAACACATGGATTGGATTTAAAGAGAGATTGAAAGATGAATATTTTAATGAAGACATTGAAAGAATGTTCAAAAGAGGTTTTTTTGATTAAAATGAATAACAATCAAATAAACATATAGGAACAAATGAGCTAATAAGAGAATTTTAAAAGAAGTTTGGACAACTTTGATTATCTAAAAAAGGCCTTCTAGAGATAATGAAATCAGAGTTGTTTTTGTAAGCTGTAGATAATGTATTAAAAGTTAGATTGCTTTTCTTTCTTTAAGATATGATAATAAAAGGTAGTTTGACTATGAATTAAAGATGGTTGAAGCAAGCAACGAGCGTCATTATTAAGCAAAACTATATAAAGGTTCAAAGATTAGAGGCAAAAATAAAAACAACATCAATGATAGTTATAAAGGTTCTTGCAACAACTTTGTCTTCTTCTAATCTATCAAGCTCTTCAAAGAATAAGACTAAAAATGAAGACATCTTTAAAGAATTAATGAAAGCTATAAGATAGTTGAAGGTAGAAATGAATGCTTTGAAGAAAAATACATGATCAGATATTTTACAACCAACTGAAGGGTCAAAGGAGTTTTTAGTAAGGTGCATATGATATGATGATTCAAATCACAAATGAAATGACTAAGGATCATATAAAGTTGCCATGAAGACTAGCATTATTATCTTCAAAGAAGATAAAATAAGAGATGCTATAATCAATGAGCCTATAGATACTAACTTTGAAAGAAATGGCATAAAGAAATTGATGGAAGATAGATTAGAAAAGAACAATTTCTCATGTAATAAGGTGATAGAGACTTTTACTATTAAGATTGAATACAATAAGGTAGGAATTTCAATACATGTATACAAAAAAGTGATGATAGAGAGAGCACAAATTATCAAAAGACTAACTAGGTGGAATAATCTAGTTGATGGAATAACTATGAGGGCCTATTTGATAAGTAAGCATAGTGAAAAAGTACTCTATAATACATCAATAAATGTCAAGAAAAGAAAAACTGATGAAGAAGAAGAAGTAGAAGAGCCAATCAACAAGAAAAAGGTCTCAAGTAGTAGAAAGGCTATTCCAAAAGATAGACTAACAAGCAACACAAGACAAGAATTACAATTTTCTACTTCACATCTAAGAACTAATATTTCATTCCAAAAGGAGAAGTAAGAGAAGAAGTTGAGTAACAACAAGGACAAAGAAGAAAGCACCACCCTATAAATTCCAATCTGATATTCAATCCTCAGTTGACATGAAGGACATTTTAGAAGAGAGGATTTTAAATGCCAATATTGAAATTACTTTAAAAAAACTATTGGAATTACTAAAAAAGATTTTTTTGAGTTCATCATTGATGTAATCAAGAAGAAGAAATAAATAACTAGTAAAATAATCATCGCAAGAATACTAGATACTTTGATGACCAAGAAAAAAAAAGACGAGATTGTAAAAGTATTTGCCTTAATATGTGATAATTTAGGCAATGGTGACCAAAGCAAAAAACATGGAGTCAATTTTGGTAAGATTCAAAATACAAAAGTTGAAGTTATGTAAGAAGTTTTGTGTGATGAGATAGAAATAAAGTACTACAAATGTTTTTATGTAATATAGTGGCCAACATGAAGGTGGAAGTAAACACTAGCAAAAACCAAGAAGAAGATATTGCAATGGAAGCCAAAGTATTATAATGTAGAACTGAGAAGCTATAAAAGAATGATGGTGAAGTTTTGCCAACTTATATTCATCTATTTTAGGTAAAAGCTATTACAAAGAAATATGTAAAGATTTGAGATTTTAAAGAATTAATCTTAGCTTTGGTAGATTATGGCTTTAAGATCAATGTCTTCTCCAAAAGGATTTATGAGAAAGACAAATGGCCAATTGATATCAACCATCGATGGATATTGAGAGCTACTACTAACAAAAGATATAACTTTCACAGAACATGTTTAATAGTAGACATTAAAATTCGTAATGTTGTCATATTACGTAAAGTCTTACTCGAGAGAGCACCAATGTTGTAATACGTGAAGTATTGCTTGAGAGTATACTGAGCACCTAGTTGTAGAAGATAGAATGGAAATTGTGATAAGAAAATCCTAATTCTAATAGAATACTAAATAAACTCTAATTAAACCTTAATAATTCTAAACAAGCTTTAATCAAATTTTTTTAAAAAAACCTTAAATAAATTAAAAAAGAAACAATAAAAAATCTTTAAAGAGTTGAAAGATAATCCATAGTAAACCTTAAAAGAATCCTTAAGAAGCTCTAAAATAAATATTAAAATAATTATAATATATCTTAAATAAACTCAATTAAGTTCTAATTTAACTCTGGTTGAAATCCTAATAGACTTCAATCAAATCCTAGACAAATCTTAAAGCCTAAATCAAACCATAAACCAAACCCTAAATAAATCCTGAACCCTAAATCAAATCCTAAATCAAACCTTAATCCTAGTTCAATTTAGAACCTTAATATCTATCAATCAAAATTTTGATCTTGTTTAAAAATTTACACACTTTTCAACAACTAAATTGGAAATAAGCACACAAAATTTGAAAATAATTTTATTTACTAATGAAAGAAAAATTCTAAAATTAGCTTGAATATTAGTCGGCTTCTTACTCTAATCTAAATATTAAACTTCCAATACCAACATCTTCTTTTAAACCATTCAATTATTCTTGAATTATATATATATATATATATATATATATATATATATATAAAATTAAGTCTAATATCTTTATATATAAATTTTACTATAATCCAACTAGTAGATTGCTGGAGATCTTAAAAATCCTAACTGCCTTTCAAAGTCTAATTTTTGAGACGTCAACATACTTAAAAATTAATAATATTTAATTCAACCA